AAAAAAAATAAAAATTTATGATAGCACAAATTTAAAGATTTAAATATATACTGGCTGTATTCAAAGAACTTAAAAAATGATTGTATTAGCAATGAAAAAACTGAATGCTACCATGCATTAGAAGATTTTTATTAGTAAGAAGAAGGATTACTGGTAAATTTTTTATCATACACACAAATAACAGTTAAGTGTGCAGTTAAAGGACTGTCATATGTACATTTCAAGAATTTGGAAGTTCCTATGTACAACAGAACACATATAGATAACAAAAGGGCAACTGAGGTTGAGCTTTCAAGTATGGAAATACAAAGGAAGAGGAATAGTTTTAAGCAGACACTAGTGATTGGGATGTGGAATGTGAGAACCATGAATGTAGGAAAATTAGATATCGTTAAGGAAGAAATGGAATGCATACATATTGACATACTAGGCATTGGTGAGATGAGATGGACTGGCATGGGCATTTTGAGTCGGATGACCATATTACTCTGGAAATGAAAAGGTGAGGAAAAATGGAGTTGCTTTCATAGTTAAAAAAGTCATTACTAGACCCATCTTAAAGTACAATATTGTCAGTGACAGGATAAAATCCATACGCATACAAGGAAGTCCAGTGAATACCCTATCATTCAGATATATGCACCAACAACCAGAGCCAAGGAAGAGGATATAGAAGATTGTTACCAACTTTTTTTTCTTTTTTATTATTTTTGTGTGCGTGTACCGTCAAATCAGATCTGACTGGTTCAGGAGGAGATTGCCCCTCCTTCCCCGGCAGAGCATCTGGTGGATTCGAACCATGCACCTCTGAGATTGTAGTTGCAGCTTCTTGCCACTAGGCCACCAGAGCTCCCCTGTTACCAACTTTTACAATCAGAGATCGATCAAACATGCATCAAGATGCACTGATAATAATGGGTGGCTGGAATGCAAAAGTTGGGAACAGAGAAGATTCAGCAGTTGGAAAACATGGACATAGTGACAGAAATGGAGCTGGAGAGAGAATGATTGAATTTTGCACAATCGATGACTTACTCATAGCAAATACATTTTTTAAGAGACATAAATGCAGGTTGTATACTTGGATTTCACCTGAGGATATGCATAGGAATCAGATTGATTACATCTGTGGAAATAACCGCTGGAGAAGCTCAATATCAGCTATGAAAACTAGGCCAAGAGCTGATTGTGGAACAGACCACCAACTACTCATATGCAAGTTCAAGCTGAGCTTGAGGAAAATTAAACCAAATCCAAGGCAACCAAAATATGACTTTGAGTCTATCCCACCTGAATTTCAGAACCATCTCAGGAACAGGTTTGAGGCTT